GCAGATTCCTAAGATGTTGCACAATGCTGGCCTTTGCCTCTCGTGGCTCTGGTACAGCTGATATGGGTAAAAAGCAGGTGTCAGCAGGCCATAACACGACCAAAGGGCACATATGACATCCTAGTCTACAGGATTGTTCAAAACCTGTGAGATTGTAATGTAATGCGCTACATTCACATAGCAAAGACCTTTAAACCTGAAATAGGGTTAACAATGGGTAACTCCGCCATTGGCTTGGTAAAGCATCAAGCACTTTGCCACCCCTTGCTAACACTTTGTGACCATTTAACAAATCCCGTTACACTTGATGTCATGAATACCTGAACAGAAATCCATTCTGTGATAGACTCCTTGTGTCTAGTGAAAATCTAACTGTCCATGTTTCTCTTCCCATAAGCTGGTGAAAACTCACAACCTGCTCCCTAGCAGGAACTATATATTTGGATATCACCCACATGGCATAATGGGCCTGGGAGCATTTTGTAACTTTGGCACGGAAGCCACTGGCGTCTCCAAAAAATTCCCTGGAATAAAACCTTATCTTGCAACACTAGCCGGGAACTTTCGGCTGCCAGTTCTGAGGGACTACTTAATGTCAGGCGGTAAGTGGGATTTTTTTTTTTCTCCTTCTCGAAGGCCTTTCTATCGGTCTAGTGCTATACTAGTCTGCTTTTATTCCTAATCTAAATGTAAATTCTGGAGCAGCAATAATGTAACTATTTAATCTGATTATAAAAACACAGCATGCTGGGTACCATGCAGACCATTGATGCCGCTACCTGACCTTGACAAAGCAACCATTGGAATGCTCTAGACTGGCACAATGCTGGCATTTTATGAGAAGCATGATTGGACTAATGCCTTGGAGGATAAATAACTGCAGCTATTTCTGGCTTGTGAAGTGAGCCTTAAAATCCACTTTGCATTTTATTAAAGGGACACTATAATAAATATACTAAATCTATCTCTTTTAAATGGATTACTGAGCATCCTTTTGTATATAGGGGAGATGATTGTAGGAAATCAGTGCTTTGATCCCTCTCGGCAGTCTAGTCCTCTCATTAGAGACCTTCAGCCTCTGACTACTTTCCATAAAGGAGCAGAAATCAAATACTTAAAAAAAAAAAAATGACAATCTTAAGATGGAAGTGACTATACTTTCTCTAGGACCCTCGGTGTTCCAGTTTCTCAACTTTTTTTTTTTTTTTTTCTGCTCCCTAAGAAAAGGCGATATTTACGTTTTTTTTTTGGTTTTGTTTTTTTTAAAACTCTAAAACTGCAGATTTATGATCTACTTGTCTTTCCCCCCTCTAGGGATATGTCCAGTGAGCAGAGATACCATTGACTATATTCTCTCTAAAAACGGCACAGGGAATGCCATCGTTATTGTTGTCGGAGGAGCTGCCGAATCACTTAACTGTGTGCCAGGGAAAAACGCTGTCACTCTAAAACAGAGGAAAGGCTTTGTCAAGATTGCTTTGCAACATGGGTAACTCCTTTTTTATTTTTTATTTTTTTTACATGATGGCAAACTTTGATGCCATAAACTGTTTCTTGACTACATTTCCCATGATGCTAAGCTAGCTGAGCATCATGGGAAATGTAGTCCAGAAAGAATTTATGGTGTCAGTTAGCAATCACTGCCCTAGAACTATCAATGTATTGGATATTTAAGCTGAGCTGCTGGATAGACCTGGTCACAGAACTGACACTGCCCTGCATTCTTATTACCTATCCAATTCCATGTGGGAACTAAAACATCCCAAACGCAAGTAAGCAAGGACTTGCTCGTATTAGTATTGCAAGCTCTTTATGCCAGAGCTCCATTCTGTATCTGTAGAGATTGAAAACTGGAGCCTTTCTTCATTCCTCCCGCACTGACTAAGTCAATCTTGGTGGGTGCTCTTGTTAGCAGAGAGGACTCCAGGTACACCACAGGAATTCTTTGCAGGCTGCAATGCCTGCTTAAATTGTAAGGAAATCTGCATTGTAAACATACTTGGCATAGCTGTACGTGGCCAGGAACTATTGTCATTTAAGTATTGATTCACTCTAGTGTTTAGCTCAGTTTTTTTTAATTTTTTTTTCTTTCTACTTGTTTTGTAGAGCTGATCTTGTTCCCGTGTATTCATTTGGTGAAAATGAAGCCTATAAGCAGATGGTCTTTGAAGAAGGCTCCTGGGGACGATGGATACAGAAGAAGTTTCAGAAGCATGTGGGCTTTGCTCCATGTGTCTTCCATGGATGTGGATTCTTCTCAGAGGACAGCTGGGGTCTGGTGCCTTATGCAAAGCCGATTACGACTATCGGTATGTTGACATGATCTCATAGTATCAACCTATTTGGCATAAAATATGCAACTTGAATGTCAATCTGAACTATTAAAATGGGCATTAAGTGAGCTGTTTTTTATACGGCAGATAAAACACAGTTCACAAAACTATAGGCAACTTTACTGCTTGTTCCTGTAATATACAATGTGACGATATGGAGACTGTGCTAAAGGCTACCTGTCTTCTCCTCTTATCTGCTCTTTAAATTGTTTATCTATGGACTATGCTTGTAGATTTGCTAGCAAATGCATTCATTTGGGGAAATGGATTTTTATTTTTATAAACCTGAAAATAAAGGGTGGACTGGAGATGGCTGTTATAGAAGCATTATATCCATGAAGCAGAGGTGATGAATTGGCAAGAAGGAGTAACTATTTTACACTGCACATCGTATCTTCGAAATAAAATTATATATATTTGGGGCTGATTTTTAGCATAACCTAAAGTCATGGCATGTTCACATGAACAACTTTCTTACTTGGTATTCTGTACTATAGTGTGTAGAATATTAACGTTTGTAAGGATTTCCTATCTCCCATCTTGCTGTTCCCATAGCTGGATTCTGTCTGGATGGCAACTGTATCTCATACTTACTATAAGCTACCCTGTCTGAAGTGGTTTGACGTGGACCTAACTTGACACTTGTATTCAGTTTGTTGAATAAAACTCTCTTTATTCCCCTGCAGTGGGTGAGCCAATCACAGTTCCAAAGACGGACAATCCAACCCAGAAAGACGTGGACCTCTATCACACCATATACCTAAATTCCCTCCAGAAGCTGTTTGACAAGTGGAAGACGAAGTTTGGCCTTTCTGAGACTGATGTGCTGGAAATTAACTGATGGGCTCCAAGCAGACCACTTCTCTATTTTTGTCGGAATGTATTAGTGGAAACACTTTACTGTGTTCTTGGCTGTTGGAGCCTGTTAATGTAGCATTCCCATTTCAGACACTCTGCCTCCATAACAGAACCTTAGTGTTTTTCTTAAGCCTCACGGCTTCCAATGCAGATCCCTGTTAGACGTACTGATGGACTGATTGTATCATGGTTCTTGTGTCTGGATTTCACTTTATGCATCGTGAATGTATTCTAAACTCCTGATCTGCTATTGCAAGTTAATCTGTACTAATTCTAAATTCCTCTTGGTAGCTGCAAGGAATTCAGAGGGTACATGAGACCTTACAAAGCACGTTCAGACTAGCAACTATCGGAGTAGCAGTTTGTGAAAAGGTCCAGGACCTCAGTGTAAATGCAAGAACCAATTGACTCTTAAAATTTGGCTGTAAGCATGGTACATCCTAGGACTGTAAGCAAGCTATAATTCAAACCTGGTTTGAAAACAAGTCACTGTCATGACTTGTACCCAGCCTAACCTTGCTTTAGATAGGCAAACTGGCACTCCAGATGTTGTCAAATACATTTCCATGGAGCTTTGCCAACAGTTAACATCTGGAATTGCTTACCCCAGTCCTAGATCCTACTATCAGACTTTTGAAATGCATGATTTGATTTCTATGCCCTTTAAGTGTCTTTCAAAAGACTGCAGCTGTGGGTTACTTCATCTGACATATCTTCAAGTCAGTACAAATGATCCCCAGGTATAGCCGAGCTTACACCTGTCTTTAAATGGGGGGGCAGGGGGAGTGGCTGCAGGTAGTGGCTGTAGCCATGCTGTCTGATCAGATAGAATATTTGTAGTGCAATAGGTGTGTAGCCTGTCTTGATGTCTGAGGTCAGATTCCCTCTTGTTGGAATATTAATGGGACGCTTGGAAGACTGTCAGATGCATTAAAACCCCCCTGTTTGCTATGAAAAACTAATAAATCTATAAACTATCTTAGTGTCTCATCTCTCTAAGGGAGACCTTTTTAATTTATATTAATGTTTATTTTAAAGCACAACCAATGCAATTTTTTTTTTTTTTTTTTTTTGGGGGTGAAATCAAATAAACTAATCTGTTTTATCTCATCAGTTTTTTGCCCACCATTCAGCTGGATGAATGTCTTTAGTCTAACTGAGCTTTAAAAAAAAATAATAAAAATCAGTATTAAAAGTGATTTTTAAACAGGGCAGGGTCCTTGAGCAAAAACTTCTTTTTTTTTTATTTTTTATTTCTTTTCTGATTTGTACATATAAAGTGTTTAAAATGTTTTTACAAATTATAAAATTGTGTGTATATATTAAGCATCCATCCTGTGATTGTTCAAATGCAGAGTCTCCCTGTGTGTTGACATGACAAATTGTAGAATGTGTGATATTGAGGGGGTGGTATGTTGCATGTTTTGGGGTACAGTATAAAGGTGCAATAATGGCTCCTGTCTAAGAACTTAATATATATATAAAAAAAAAAGAACCCTGTACCAAGATAATCTCTAATGGGAGCAAGGAAATCTAATTGTGGGAATTCTCCTTAGAGGCTTCTACAATGTGCCTTGTTACGTGAATGACTGTTCCCTCATATCTGCACCCCCAGGATAACAAACATTATTGCTGTACTATCTTTGTTTTGTACAGGTGAATGTATACAACTGTATTAAATCTCTTTTTTAAAACAAATCTTAATGTGTCATAGAACCTATTTATCATATAAATTCTCCCTAAATGTAATAAATTATGACATTGCTGTTACAACTAAACATCTAAATGTGAAATGGCCAAGAAAGGTTTGTCTATAAAAAGACCAACTCAAGGCCTAAATTAGCCATACAACACAGGAAATTATGGTTGCTAAGCAATAAGAGTATAGTTATATAGGGTGATGTGACGAGACCAATCTCGCCACTGTGCATTGGAGGAGCCTGGATTTTTTTTTATTTATTTTTTTTTTGCGAAGACACGAAAGCCGGTGCTTGCCCTGTTGTGAGCGGTGATACCCCAGATAGCTATGCCATGGAGCCCGTTCGTATAATGAAAGACTTTGGCTCCATGGCAATTGAACTGTATGTGGGTGATCTCAGCGCCATTCAGTAATAATGTGAGCTCAGATCTGAGCTATCTGGGGATATGTACCTGTTTTGTGCAATGGCTGCACAGTTATATATTTTTATGTATTTTATTGTCTCTTGCTGCCATGTGTTCAATGGAGTTTTGCTTCTGTCCTTGGAGATAATTATCTCCAGGATAGAAGACTCTGTGGAACTGGTTTTGGGCAGTAAAGCCATTCTTCATTTGGTCATGAAGGACTTTGATCTATATTTTGGACCATTTTGGATGATTTTGACATGGTTTTATTTTTTTTTTTTTTGTATGCTGTTCCAGTTCGACTGCTAGGAGTGTAAACCTTTCATATGGTTTTCCTATTCGGCTCTCTACAGCATTTGTATGGTTCCGGTTTGGCTGTTTACGGCATTCATATGGTTTCCTGTCGGGGTGGATTGGTGTGTTCAGTAGCTGCCTGTATCTGGAAGGGAATATCTCCTAAACGGCTGTAAACACTTATGCCTAGGGGTGCTGTTACAGGTGACAGACATGTGGCCACAAGGCTCAGCCTTCCTCGCTTTTTTCTTTATCCAATACTTCAAATTGTGCAACAAACTAGGAAAAATGTAATTGACATTGGAATGGCACTCAGATTTATCCTCTGATCAGGAAACTATTGTGCTACAATTGAAAAATTAGCCTTTAAATAGTTTTTGCAAGTATGGATCAAATTGCTGTTAAGCATTTATACAGACTCTGATAAAACCACTTCAGGCAGAGAATTCCCTTTTTTGTGTTTTCTTCCAGTTTAAACACGTGTCCTATGTATAGTCCAGTTTGTGAATAGATTTCCAGACAATGTGTTTGGGGTTTTTTTTTTAGCCCTGGATAATTGTATAATGTAAGATCATTGTGTCAGATGCAACTTGAACTTGTGTCAAGGGTTTGTGGGATTTTGCTTTGTACCTGAAACTGAATACAATGTCTCTTATATTGCTCTAAGAGGCATTTTACACTGAAGATCAAATCTTATTCGAATGGTACTTTAACCCCTTGGTGACCAGTGACTTACCAGGTACATCTGCCAAAATACAGTTGTTAAAGACTGTGGATGTACCTGGTACGTCACTTAGATCAGAACTTACCTGATTGCTGGCAATTTCCCCCACTGGTGATCCTGGGGTCTGCCTGGCAGCTCAGGCAGACCTCCACTGCCTGATCCAGTCCATGTGATCACAGGGTCACATAATTTGAGGGACCTTCCAGACAGCCAAGAGAATTTAATTGAGGCCTATATTTAACCGTACCTCTCAAACCCCATAAAACCTTTACATGGGGGGAGGGGGGTATTGTTATATTTGGGAGACTTCACTGAACACAGTAACATTTATCACAACAATGAAATTGCCAGTAAAAGTGCAGTTTTGTGTAAAAACAAATATGAACTATAACTTTGGCAAGCATTTGTGACTAAGTGGCTACTACACAATACTGGACGTACCTGACTTTGAATACCCTGGGTTGCCGCATTTTTCAACTGGTATGTCATGGGGGGATTAATTTTCATTTCTGGCCTGCCATACTATCTAAGGCAACATAGGCCCAGCAAACCAATCTAGCAAATTTCAATGTGCAAACATGGAAAAGGATAGCACTAAACTTGACGCCTGTCAAGGCCAGGGATTAATGAAAATTTTTTTAAAAAATTGGGCAGACTAGATGGCCCGAATGGTTCTTATCTGCCGTCACATTCTATGTAAGTTTACAAAACCCCACTAAAACCTGTACAATCAGGAGATGTTGCTGAACACATCTTTGTCAGGAACTGAGAATCCATGCTAAAGTACAATGTGAGAAAAATAACAAAATGGCTGTCCAAAAGGTTGACAGACTGGTGGTAGGTACGATTATTGCATGGAAAGTGTTAAAATACCACCATTTGAAATACTGTCTAATTTTCAAAAAATATTATTTGATGGGGGTAAACTACATTGGCTGGCTTAATGTCCCAAACGGGACATGGGTGCATGATGACGGCTATGAAAATTTCAAGTTGGAATGATTGATATGCTTGGCTTAGGTTGTCTTCCAAAAAAAAAAAAAAAATATATATATATATACACACACACACGTATAGTGGCACTCACCCTTTCAATGAATCAGTAAAAGACTGCCTTGGTGCAATCCCACGCTGGATATGTAAAGCAAAAAGGAAAGAGATGCACTCTCAGGTCTTTGTAGAAAAAAACTCGATATTATTTAATAACAGGTAACATACATCTGATCGACGTTTCGACCTGTTCAGGTTTTCCTCAAGATCAATATACAAACATATACAACACAAATATATACGCAACATAGAAGGAGTTACTCACCAAACAAACAGTGCACACCGGTTTCCATTAGTCCGAACCCGGAAGTGTAAGTGGTGCGTCATGTGATGCGTGTCATGTGACGTATGGGTGTGGCCATTACCATGATGTGGTTGCTAGGAAACGGGTAAACTAAACCCGAGCAAATATGTAGTGAACATGAAACAGCTCGGATTAGGCAAATAATTATCTGTGCAATGGAGTGAAAGGGCATAAAGCCCTGTGAAATATACAGAACTATAATACCTACCAAGTAGCATGATATAAACGCAATACAGTGATCACCACTAATAGTGAGGACTCAAAGGTCCATTTCTACGAAAAAAGACTATATTAATATTGGTCCAGTATCTAACATACACCAATTAAAGTGACCATATGTATGTGAATCTGAAGTAGTGTAAACATGCACCCGGTAAAGACAATACAAAAAAAACAAATGTATAATGCGTAACACATACAATTAAATCAAGCATAACATGGACACAAAGTATACAGAGTATTAAAATGAGAATACTATGTGGGGACTTTAATTAGAGAATCCTACAAAATAGATGAAGATGAGGACAAAAGCTTATAGCATCTGAGGTTACTAGTTGGTCTCCCATACAAGTACTAGCCAGGCCTGAGTCTGAATAGCTTCTGAGATCTGGCGAGATCAAGCATTTTCAGACTACGATGGCCATAGGTTCTAGGCAAGAGAGTATGGACACTGGGTATTCAATGATAATCTATAGGTAGTGGACTAAAACCACATTCAAGACAGAACAGAAGAAAAAAAAAGGAAAAAAGGAACAAGGAAAAAAGGACTAATCCATATACTCTGTATATCATGTAAATACACGGAAAGAAATACTTCAAATAACAACTGCAGAGTCTATAGTAGCAAGAAAAGGGGTGTAGAGATGCCAGTTAGGCTAAATAATCACTGAAAGTGATTGGAATACAGCCATATGAGGTAATACTGAAAATCTATTGCAATATCAGTCACTAACCATGTGGGGGAAAATGTACAGAAATAGCATACAAAATTATATATATATATATATACAGACAAATATATACAAGAAATAAAATAAAATAGAATTACAAAACTACACTGCCAAACTGGTATATGCCAGTGTCGGAGGACCTAATTGATCACTATAACCAAGTCACTAGAGGTAAATGGAGTCTAGAGAAATATCACCAAAAACAAAGAAAACGTCGGCAAGACATATTGTACACAATATACAGATACCCTATGGTACAAAGATGTACAGGAAAAGAGGCTCAGGACATCGATCCTAGACTACCGGGATAAGAGAGATGTATAGTATCAGAGAAAAACTGAATAAACAATATTCTCATTTAATCCTCTGGGTGTTACTGTGTCCAGTTGGTATGTCCATTTTGCTTCCTGTTGAAGTAACATTCTTGATCTATCACCACCCCTCGGAGGAGGTGGGATATGATCAATCGCTGTGAAGCGTAATGATGGTAGTCTGTGTGTTAAAGCCAAAAAATGTTTGGCTACTGGTTTGTCGCTGTAGTTATCCCGATAGGCAGTGGTGATAGTTGACCGATGTCCACGTATCCTATCTCTCAGGGTGAGGTTAGTTTTGCCCACATACGACAGTCCGCACGGACAGGTAATAAGGTATATTACATGGTCTGTGGTACATGTTATATGATGTCGGATGTTAATTCTTTCGCCACTTTGAGGATGTGCGAATGACTTGCCACTAACCATGTGGCTGCATGTCACACACCCACTACACTTGGAGCATCCTTTCTTGGTGATATTTGATAAAGGCTGGTAGCAATGAAGTGGGTCATTCCTGACCAAAATATCTTTAAGACTTCTGTTCCTCTTATAGCTGAAAATCGGTCGTTCTCGAAATATTTTTGGAAGTTGTTTATCTGATTGTAGTAGTCCCCAGTTAACAGAATGTTTCACCGTAGAGATGCCCGTATGGAATGTGAGCGGGAGAAACATCCTAGATGTTGGTGTTGCATTAGTTTTGGTTACTTCATTAGTTTCTGTGACGAGACCAATCTCGCCACATTGCATTGGAGGAGCCTGGTTGCCCACCTGCTGCCTTTGGATTATGGACCGGCAGCTAAAGGGTTAATTTTACTGTGCAGAAAGATTTATTTCTCCCTTTCTGCACAGCCGTTCGGCAGATTCCATCTACCGAACAAACAGTTTCTTTTCAGCCTCCCCGTGGGAAGCCGGCAGGCGACCTTAATTGGCCACCCAGAAGCTGGAGTGCCACCTCCATTTACCTCCCTGAAGCCGCGGTTAACCGCGGCTTAACGAGCGTGTGCCGGCAATTGACCACCCAGTAGCTGCGGTTAACCGCAGCTTAATTGATTGTTACTGGGTGGTCGCGGTTACACTTAGCCACCACACGATGGCGGTGTTCTGGAGCTCCCCAGGCAGCCAGCGCTTTTCTGCCCGGCTTTCCTGAACCAAACCCGGACACTTTTACGTGCAGGCACCGCTGAACCTCCAACCCCTGGTTCTAATTCGTACGGATTTAACGAATGCATGTAAATTCGGTATTTTATGTTGGAGGAATGTTTTAACCCAGATAGCCATGCCATGGAGCCTATTCGTGTAATTAAAGACTTTGGCTCCATGGCAATTAAACTGTATTCGTGTGGTCTGAGTGCCATTCACCTAATAATGTGCACTCAGACCTGAGCTATCTGGGGATATGCTACATGTATATATTTACTGTACCATTTGTCCCATTATGTATTTTAAAGTGATAGTCTGTCTTTGTGTCCCCACATGTGTAATGGAGTTTTGCCTTTGTCCTGGGAGATAATTGAATTACTTCTCCAGGGCAGAGGGGAGGAAGCCAGGATGCATTGTGGGGATGTTTTACTTCTGTCTGTCTGTAATTGGTACATGTCTGTCTTTTGTTACAGCCTTCCATCTGGTCCCCTAGGGGAGTGTCCACCAGGTGGGAGACCTGCATAAATACTGGGCAGGTAGCCCTCATTAAACAGACCACTGCTTGACCCCCAACACAGAGCCTTGTCTCGTCTTTGGGGGGATTTACTGTATGCTGATAGAGACTGATTGCCAGGAGTGTAAGCCGCTTGGGTGCTTTTCCTGTTCGTCTGCTAGCAGCTATTCGTGAGGTTCCAGTTCGAGTGTTTGGAGCTTTCCCTTGTATGCAGTTCGAGTGTTTGGAGCATTCTCTTGTATGCAGTTCGGGTGTTTGGAGCATTCCCTTGTATGCAGTTCGGGTGTTTGGAGCATTCCCTTGTATGCAGTTCGGGTGTTTGGAGCATTCCCTTGTATGCAGTTCGGGTGTTTGGAGCATTCACTTGTATTCAATTCGTGAGTTTTGGTGATTCTACAGTAGCTGTGCCTGTCTCTGAAAGGGGATTATCGTCT